CTTATTTCTTTTTTTTTCAGCAGTTGTTGTGATGTCAGAGCGCCGAGCTCTGATTGGCTCTGACTGAAGGATAGTGGGTATACCTCAAAGCAAGCTGCCTCGAGGTCTACCCACTATCCTTCGGTCAGAGCCAATCAGAGCTCGGCGTTGAGATGTCATCCCAACCCCTGCAAAAAGAAGCAGACGAGCTTGCGCTCCGCATTATCTAGAAGCCATTAAACCGTCGTTTCGGGGAATGACGAAGAACCTTTATTTTTAGCTATATCGCCGGTACATTAAACTGAGAAACTAGATGCACAGGGCACGTGGCGTCAATTTCCCCGCTAAATTTAGCGGGGAAACTAAATTGGTGTATAGGTCACGTGACGTTAGTTTTCCTGCTAGATTTGGTGGGGAAATTTTATTGATGTGTCGGGGTGTCGTCAGGTCACGGGGCCTCAAATTCCCCGCTAAATTTAGCGAGTAAACTAATGCTGTTGGTCGGGCAACATCAATTTCTCCGCCAAATTTAGTGGGAAAATTGAATTGGTGTATAGCTCACGTAACACCAGGAGTGACGCCAATATTTTCGCTAAGTTTAGCGGGGAAACTAAATTGGGTGTGCGTCTCGTGACTTCAGCTCACGTGGCATCGAATTTCCCGCCAAATATAGCGTGGCAAGTGGATTGGTTAATAGGTCAAGTGACGTCAGGTCAGGTGATATCAAGTAACATCCCGTAATCAATACACCTATTTAGTTTCCCCGCTAAATTTAGCGGGAAATACATGGACGAACGTACGGGTGAACGTACGGACGGACGGAGGGACCGACGGACGGATGGATGGACGAATGAACAAAGGGACGGACGGACAAAATTTTGGGGATGGGGGAGGTTCCGTTAAAAAGCACTTCATGCTTCAAAACGAAAATTGCATTCATATAAACAAATGTACACGTAAAAGGTCCGAAAGGTAGCAACAGATGCCAACAAATTAGAGCTAAAGGGCAATCAGTGGGTTGTCACGCTTCCGGTATCTATTTAATGCGCTCGTGTGGCACGGAAAGAAGAGCGCAGTTTCGTATGTCTGCAATCGTGCAAATAAAATAGAAGGGATTTAGTTCCTTGCCTTTCGGCCTAGGAAAAAAAAAAAAGTTTTAAGACATTTAGACAGAGAGTTTTTCAGATTAAAGACGCTTATTTATGCTAGGCGGCGTTTTGCACAATTATAACGTACCATCAACCAAATCAATTTTTGCTTCTTCCGAATGCGGTGTAAGGTTTCCATAAATTACAGAGCGTTCATGCAGTATCTGATATGCAGTGGCGTGCTCCATTGTACACCAAGACATTGTTAAAAAAAATTAAAAAAAATGCTCGGGAACTCCGTTGGAAGTATCGTCAGCAAGAGTGCGGGGGCTCTAAACTCCTCAACACACAAAGTTGGAGGCAAAAGTTCACGGAGCGCGCCGAATATGGACTATCGCGACGATGACTTGGCGCTTTTGTCGCCGGCGTCCAATCGGCGCCCTCCGCGAACTTTCGGCTCCAACTTTGTGTGTTGAGGAGTTTAGGGCCCTCGATATTCTTATCCCCGGTTAACGTCGGATCGTCACACGATAATTCTAAGATGTTCTACGCTTCTCCTATTTAAGCAGGCACTCGTGGGTACACAATAGGATATTATACTTCGTTTCACTCCGGCCACAGCCGGCACGATGGAGACAGTCGAGCAACGCCAAGCGTGCATGGTCAAGGCACTCGTCGTCTTTTTGCATTTGCTGCTTTAGCCTAAATGAATTGCGCTAGGTAAATGCATCATGATCCTGTGATTTTTTTCTTTTTTTTTCTTTCTTTTTGAGCGTGATTGGTTGGTGATATTGCGGGTTTTTTAGCCTTACCCATGTACTCCAGGCTCCTTCCAATAGAACGTTTATTCAGCGAACGTTATTGTGGGCGCTGAATAGTAAGCAGATACCGACCCATGATATTTGAAGTCTTGCGGATAATCATAATGAACTACGTTTACTTCTTCGTTTTTTTTTTTTTGTTTTTTTTTTTCTAGATCTTCGCACTTATTGCTGGAGCGCTGCACACTGGCCATTTCATCTACACCTTGATTCGCCATCACTCGTGACACCGGAGCCATTGTCCTCCCACGGCTGCACTGAGGAATATTTGCTTATATAGTACATCTTTTTATAAATGACAAAATCAAGTGGTGTCTTCGGGAACTTCTGTTCAGCTGTGCTTTGAATCGCAAACATGAATGCTCAAAATAAACCAGTTTAATCATTTGAAGTTAAAAAATAAAAACCTTATGCTACGTCAGAGAACGCGTGATGTTTTTTTTTTTTTTCACATTTGTTCGAGAAAATAAAAATATCATGTTATCAGCTGAATATGTATATATAATTGTAAAAGACAATAAAGAATTTCGAAAATACACCAGATTGGCGAGTGAAACTCTCAGTACAACGAGCGTGTGCGACGGCATTCGTGACTTCTATGACAGCGACGAAGAAGAAGAATCGGCGCTCGAGTGCCTGTAGAGCCTGATTCCGAGACAGGCCGAACCATTCGAATATCCGCGTCATGACGACTGCGCCGGTGGGTTCCCCGACGCCCGCTCTTCCAGCTGAAGCGAGTCCAACCCTTCAACAGACTGTAAGTAAAAGACCTGGGGTGACGTCATCTACAAAATGCCTCCAGAAACCTTGCTTACGAAACGAGCCGAACTACGCAGTTAAATCATATATAGAGTCGGTAGCTATCCATACCGTGAACGAATAGCGTGAACTCAGGGGGGCTATGTTGCGCTTTTTGCACTCCCAGGGGTGCTATGTTCCGCTTTTTGGACTCCCAGGAGACTTGGAAGAGGGAAGTGACGTCAACGACACAGCAAATGCAGATTGGATGTTGACAGAAGAAAACGAAATCAACACCCAATCTGCGTTTGCTGTGTCGTTGAGGTCACTTCCCTCTCCCTAGTCTCCTGGGAGTCCAAAAAGCGCAACATAGCCCCCCAGGAGACTAGGGAGAGGGAAGTGACGTCAACGACACAGCAAACGCAGATTGGGTGTTGATTTCGTTTTCTTCTGTCAACATCCAATCTGCATTTGCTGTGTCGTTGACGTCACTTCCCTCTTCCAAGTCTCCTGGGAGTGCGAAAGGCGCAACATAGCCCCCCTGATGTTATTGTCTGCACGCCAAACACAAAATGCATCTGGCACACCCTAGCTGAGGATGGGAAGTTAATTCAAATCGTTTGGGTGTATTTGTGATGCAACCTAAATAACGTTTATTGTTTTTCGTAGACACGTGTGGCGAGCGCGACGCAAAAGAAGGATTTATGCAGAGTTTCGGCGAGGATTCGATGCACTGAGCTTCCACTGGCCAACAATGTATTGTTCAGGAAATTTCTACGATCGGTGCATGCATTTCCATGTACAACAGTCTCAGCTCATCGTGCAGTGCGGAAAGAAATGAAAAGCACACACGCATCCTAACTGCGGCATATGCTCACTGAAGAAACAATATTTCCCGACCCATTCCTTCCTGTAATAAATAATTCGTTTTCCTGCATGCCACGAAGCTCACCTCGGTGTGAGTTTAACTGTTACAGACTGCAAACATCTGTCAAATTGTGTCTCCAAGAAAACAACTTACCCAGGATGGCTTGTCTAACAAAGTGCTTAAAAAAAGATATCTAAACTAAATTTAAAAACAAGCATCCGCGCTATGTTTTCGATTTTTCTCTAAAAATGCGAAGAGGTTCACCGATCGGAAATTAGCTGAAACGTTGCACAAAAGTTAAACGCCGCGGGTTCACGTGAAAAAGCGTTTGAGCGATAACCGCAGCAGTATTCTTTGGTGTTTATTTTACACATAAAAAAGGATCTTTAAATCTCCTTTGGAACGAATCTTATTAAATTGTGTTTCCTCTTTTCCGTGTCTATAAGCGCGACCACCTTTTCAAATATTCAGCACCAACTCGCCCAACAGTCGGCATTGATTTGCCTACGTATCAAACGATAACCGTCATATCCTCACTCACAAATATAGAAACACCGTCTTCCTTTTTTTAATATTTGCATCGTCTATGAATGCGTCGTATTTGGTTCTAGATTTAATTTTAAAAAAAAGATATGACCGCCTTTTATTTTTTATTTTTTCAAATTGGTCATTCCCATATGATTGAGAAGTTCATATTTATACGTCTGTTCCCAATGCGGCAACCGTAACTTTAAAAACTCAGTCTGTAGAAGCGACAGCTAAAATGTATTCGATGGGAACATTGCAACATCTTGTCGCTTGTCTTGCTTACGTGTGCTTTTTTTTTACTAACTTAGCGTTAATGCGGGTGAAACCAGCATAGACGATATATTATATTACTTTGATCTAGCCCTCTAGGTATGTATATAAAAAAACAATAATGTTTCAGTGTCCACCAAACGTAGCACTTCCACTTGGAACCATGTCAGGGATGCATCAGCATATGGAATTTGTCCTTGCCGTTCTATAAACTGACACATCTATTTACTGTCAGTAAACTCTACTGCGTCATAACTCTAGACTTCACCTCCCTTATTTATGGCATGTCTCTGCCATCAGTAAAATGCAAATTCGAGTGTAAAGACGCTTTACTCATTGGTTTGGAGAGTAGCTTTCCTTGACGCACAAGATTTAGGAGCGGGAACCAACTGATCAAGGTTAATTGTAACGACTAGATCACCGAGACTGACGGCACAAACCGGACAGCATCAACACGCAAACCAGGAAACTCCCCTTGTGAGTGTTGTCTTGTTTGTGTCGCAAGTCTCAAATTTTTATTTGGTATTTTTTTTTTTTTTTTACGAGGCAGCCGGGGGAAGAAAGTATATGCTTCAATAAGCGCCTCGTGCTTTCAAGCTGGACGATAGCACTTAAAGAACTCGAAGCGAAAACGGCGAATGCCATGACCCGACCCAGGCAGACACGTCCCCGAGCGAAGGGGAAGGAGATTTGTCGGATGTTCCCCAGCGGATCAAGGTCGACCCTGGATACATGACCACAGGCCAGGGTATCCTCACCACAGCAGAGACCGTGAGTGAAGTCATTCCTTGGCATAAATGATGGTCATCAATGTGATACACGCGCTCGGGACAAGGTCTGTTATTTCCGCCGGGTTTTGTGCAAGGTAATAAGTATAGATAATTGCCTTAGCTCCAGAGGCAGAGTTACATTAATGTCTACACGATTGCAAGCTCGAAATTCTGGCCACTCCTTTGTTTTGACTCATGTGGGCAAGAGCGTGAGGTTAGAATCACGAGCACATTGCACGTAATTGCATTCATGGCGTATACCGGCCAGGACGCCGGCAACACTTGGTAATCCCTGCGCGTATGTTTCATGTCAAAATAAAGCACAAACAGAGTACGGGAAATGCGTAAAACGTTTAAAAAAATGTAAAAAAATATAGGCTCTTGTCAGCTTTTTGAAGCGTTTAAATGCTGTACAACGCTTTAAGCACTTTTAGTTTCGGAACTCACCCGAACCTGAAATTATACAATCTTTGGCCTTACTACATCGCGCACTCTAAGAAATATCCGTGCGACTACTTTAACGCACAACTCTCGGACAGCCGAACACTGCCATGAATGCAGGGAACACGATGAATTATGGGGTCGGAAAATCGTTTTTACAAAAAAAAATATATTGGCTATCAGTCATTGAGAAAGGTATTTCGCGTCCTCACGTTATGTTCAGTGTCACACCGCAGACCTCATGTTTAGGTAAAAGAATTATTGTTTTGGCAGTTTTTTTTCTTTTTTTGACTGCACTGTGAGAAAATATAGTCGTGATGTTTCTTCTTTTTTTATATATCTATTAATTGCTATGCTTAATAATTACAATTCCCTAAATAGGTGTAAGCGGGAGTCGACCTCCTGAAGCACCAACTTCAAGATTTCGCGTATACTTCGGCATAGTTTGGCGCATGTATGCATTTAAACGCCATGTCCAACTAAAAAAAAACACACCTAAGAGATGGGGCAGCATGAAAGAAGGCAACAAAGCGCTTTGCCCAACTGAAACAGTAGTGCGCTGTTTATCCGCTCAACGGATTACGCTTAGTGCAACACCGCCTTCGTCATACCCCAGGTTGGAGCAGCATGCCTCATGGTCTTGTACCTGCTCATGTCCAGCAACGTGACCATTCAGTGGTACGCACACGTCACCTTCCTCGTCTCCTTCACGTACTGCCTCAACAACCTGCTCATCATCATTGCCGGCATTTCTTCTCCTTCGACGCAGTTTCATCTGCCCCAGACCGCTTTTGTAAGCACCAATAATCGCTCCTTTACCTAGAAGCCCTGTGCCAAGTGGCTTTTTTTTATGCTTGAAATTTAGTTTTGATTTTAAGTCGTCATGAACGCGTGACACGACGAGTAATTTTATCGTTAAATGAAGTATCTAAAAAGCGGGAACAATACACGGAAAGGTTGAATGGTACATACACGTACGGTCGCGGACGATACGAAAAAGCAGGCGAGCACGAGACTTAAAAGGCCTGCAGCGCTGTCTGTCAAAAGAAATCTCAGCCATTATCGAGGCTTCGGCGGCAGTTAAATTTGTGTCCGCAATTCTCACTTGATTGGCTGTTGCTGAATTAATGCTGATTTCAGCGCCCAATCTAGAGGAGTTCCGCTGCAAAAAGCGAAATCAAGCACGGCTCAAACCACCGGGTCGGCAAGTTGAGCAGTCACATATTCGGGCGTTTGATATCAAAGGGGCTGCGCAACAACATTGGGTAGGAATACTCGAAAGCAACGCCACAGACCAAGAAGCTCCTTCGTCGCGGTGGGAGGAAAAAGCAAACCTTTTCTTTCAGCCTTTCCTTCGCAAACCTTGATGACGGAGTTGCGGGGTCAATGCCAACAATGCAATCCCCAGGAGTGCGACATCAATCTCCGCTGCGGCGATATTTAAATTCTGCTGATGCAGTGGACACGCACACTGTGTGAAAAACATTGGCGGCATATAATCGGCTCCAGATCAAGTGGCCGCTTTTTCTGGCTGCGAATTGAGAGGGTAAACGGTGGTCGGTTTTCTCGGACTTTTTCTGCGACTGCCACTGCCACTTCGTAGAGGAAATAGGCAACCTGCGTTTCATAGGTCATAAATGTCAAGGAATAATTCTAAGCTGTATTTATTGAAAGTAGAAAAATTTTTGCATCGCCCCTTTAAGGTCGCGGAATAAACAACAATAGGCTTTTTTTTTTCTTTTTTTTTTCATTAGGCACGCAATCCTGATTTAAGAACATTGCCGAAATCGGTGTTGGCTCAGCAATCGTTTGCCGCCCACGAAGTGGGGAGTAACGACAAAAATCGAACAGCTGCTGAAATGACGCTCGTGCACATGACAGCCTCGATGATAGCTCAGCTTTCTTCCTTTAGATAGCACTGAAGGTCTCTTCGGAGCCACGGGCTCGCATCGGCTTTTTCTTTTTCTTATATCGTCCGCGATTGTACAATATGAACTAGGAAGCCACGATTCCAAAACGATGTTGTAATGTAGTTTAATTGGCCTAACCTGTGCGTGCGCCCCAGTGTCCGGCTCTAGAATATGGGCACTTTAGTCGCACTGAGAGAGCAGCTTCTTGCTTTTAAAATTCCCCAGGGATTTCGGCGGGGGGTCTAATACCCCTCTGAGGAGTAGATCCAACCGTCGCGTCCCTAGCGGCGAAGTTGAGAAATAAACCCATGGTTACAACATGAATTGTTTGGCCGTGTTTGTGACCCAGCGCTCGACTGACGTAATCGAAAGCTCTGCCAGCGTTTGGATTCATGTGCATGTCATTAGTTCAAAGACAAGTTGCTTGTCAAAACCCATGTCCCACTACCCCCAACCCCTGAGGTGACTACAACAGAGACCCCCTGCGGCCGTCCACAGGTGCGATATTTTAGGCACCACATACGCGTATATGACTGCTACATGTATAAACGGCCATTATTCTGACACAATACTATTTTGCGACCATGTACAGTCGGAGCCCGTTTCAACGATTTCGTGGTCTTACCGCGCGCGCCTTAAATACCGTATAGATACCGTACGCGCCTAAAGGCCAAAGAGAGCAATGGAAGTTCAATGCTCAAAGTCGCTTCTCTGCGCTGGGTAATTCAGCTAAGGGCGAGCATGGGATCTAATACGCCATCTGTCTCTTACTTCTTATGATAATAAGTGATGCTAATAAGAGCTGTTTCTTCTCTTTTTTCTAAAATTTAATTCATGGAAAGGGTGGGGGCGGCAAAATGTTTCAATAAACGAAAACATTTTGACTAAAATTATTTTTGACACTCTCCTAGGGGTCAGCAACGTATTCTGTAAAAGCCACAACTTGAAGATGTCATTTATATATATATATATATATATATATATATATATATACAAGATGATTGAAGCTTGTAGGCCGGTGATTGTTCAAATACACAAGAAAGATTCATGGACTGAACAAAAACAAGGAAAGGGTTATTGACACACACACACACACACATATATATATATATATATATATATATATGTGTGTGTGTGTGTGTGTGTGTGTGTGTGTCAATAAGGCTTTCCTTGTTTTTGTTCAGTCCATGAACCTTTTTTGTGTATTTGAATAATCACCGGCCTACAAGCTTCAATCATCTTATATATATATATATATATATATATATCAGGGTGTCGAACCGGAACCGAACCGAACCGAAAACCGGAACCGAACCGGTATTTTTTCCGGAACTGAACCCGAACCCGAACCGTTATATTGTTATCGCGATGAACCCGAACCGAAACTGAACCGGAAAAAAATAACGGTTACCGGCTCATGTCAAAACGGTTCGGCCACGCGCTGTTGACAATGAATGTGCTATCAATGTCATTTGTTTTTTAAGTGCCGTCAACTGACACACACCTCGCTTATATATTTTTCTTCTCCACTCAGTCTTAGGAATATAAACGCTGCATCCATGAATCTTGACAAACGCTGCATCCATGAATCTTGGCATAGGAACCAGTATTGCGCTGGTCGCGGCTTGCACGGAAAAAAGAAAATTGGAAGGCTGTGCAAAAAAAAAAAAAAAAAAATCGCGTCACAGTATTTTATTTTTCTACAATCTCGTAAATCCTAAATGCTGCTGTGTGCTCATTTCATAACACGTTTTTAGAACGCGCGAGTTCTTGAAGCTTGCTTCCATCGGAATGAGAAAAGAAAAGGCTGTGTAGTTTGATAATAATGCATCCGGTTTCGTATAGGCACTTAGAAGCTAACATATTTGTGAGACAGCGAACTCTTTTATTTTAATATTTATCCTATTACGTCCTTCTGGCGTTGCGTTCGGTGAAGTGTTTTTCATATTACGTATCTTGTTTAATGAAAACTTCATTAAGGGTTTAATTTGAGTTACCGAAGGCTAGTTCAAATAAAGAAAGCTGTATTTTCTCCCCACTGTTCCTTCAATTGCTTACACGCCGAGGGTGTGGGATAGTTAGCGAGTTCTACTTGTAAGTGGGTTTGTAAGGAGGTCGCGGATTTTACAGCTACTGCGTCGGACCCAATTAGATGAAGTCCGAATGCGTAAACGTCGGTGAGGTAACCTTTGAGTGCACATAAAGAAACCATTCCTGGTAAAAAATCCCTGAGCCTTACACTACGATGTACCCCGTTTCGCATGTGCTGATTTCAGATGTTTTATTTGTAATTTATTTTGATGTTGCAATTTGTCATTTATAATTTCCGAACCGGTTCGCGGATCGAATTAATCAAACCGGAACTGAACCGGAACAAAATTAATTTACCTGAAATTGAAACGTAACCGAACCCGTATTTTTTTCGGTTCGACACACTGATACATATATATATATATATATATATATATATATATATATATATATATATATATATATATATATATATATATATATATATATGTATATGTATATATATATATATATATATATATATATATATATATATATATATATATATATATATATATATATATATATATATATATATATATATATATATATATATATATATATATATATATATATATATATATATATATAAACAACGGGCATGGTGGCGGGAGGCCGAAGGCGTGGGTATAAAACTGAGACAAAAAAAACCCTTAGTGAAAAACAGCAACAACGGACGATTTAACCTCCGACGTTTCGGCCGGAGTCCGGCCTTCGTCAGGAAGAACTTTTACAGATGAACGCGGGTGGTATTTATACAAAATAAATATATGTACAAATGTATAAATACCACCCGCGTTCATCTGTAAAGGTTCTTCCTGACGAAGACCGGACTCCGGCCGAAACGTCGAAGATTAAATCGTTCGTTGTTGCTGTTTTTCACTAAGGGTTTTTTCTTCTCAGTTTTATATATATATATATATATATATATATATATATATATATATATATATATATATATATATATATATACATATATATATATATATATATATATATATATATATATATATATATATATAAACGAAGCAGGTGGCTAGGAACATACAATATGACCGTGGTTGTAAACGACTCTTCACCAAATCGTATCTAAAATAAATAGCGAGCACCAGTTCGGCCTCATTTCACCTTACCTGATGGTTATATAAGCGAGAAAAAACCACACACATTCCCCCAATCCTTTCTACAGAAGTCGCTCACAGTCGGAAGGTCAAACTGACTAGCATGTTTTGAGTACAGAAAAATCGGTGCCCAAAGAGCGAGTTCAGGGAGCGAGAGAGTCACATCACCGGGGGTTGACGGCGTATTGCTCACCCACAGTACGTGCTGTACCACGGGCTGGCCGGCTTCGTGTACGTCGTGGGAGCGGCGCTTTTTCACACCTGGCACAAGACGGACGAACTACCCTACAAATCGGTCACCGGGGTAAGTCCCGCTTACGTGCGTTCGATTCTCGAAGACAATCGCACATCAATGTTTGGATGGATGGGGAGTTGGAGGCCAACATTGTCCTTTCTTGTTGCAAATAAACTTATGGTCATTATTATAAGTCGCGCAGAACATCATGTTCCTTTGTTTGGCGCACTTTTTTTTTTTTTTTTTCACGAGCAATGTGTAAAATGGAACGCTCAGGATGCGGTGATTCTCGAACTCGGTTACCACGTAGATGCTTGGCGTCTATCGGTGGCTTGGAAACAGAACTGTTGCGTTACGACACTAATAACCGGCTGAAACTACTATATACCCTCACGCCGCCGTGCTTAGGCGCGAAGCTGTAACATCACTGAGTGACTGAAACTCGAATCCAAAATATGTACAGTCGTTAATAATAACCACATAAGAAAAAAACATAATCGCAGCTTTTTCTCAGTCAGATAAAAAGGCAGTCGACAGTTGTTATTTTTCAGATTGCAGAACGAAAACTAAGCAACACTGAGATGCGCACAGAGGCGTATTTCAACAAATCAAAAAGTTTGTGTTACTTGTTCCTACGAAAACTCGAGATATGAGAAATGAAAAATAAGGGTGAGAAGCATAGCCAGGATGGAGCTATACAAATATCGTTCGTTTTCGCAATCGGTCACTCTGCATTTAGTTATGGGCAGAAAACGTCGCATCGATCTTCTTTTTCAGTACGTTGAAGTCGGCCTGGGGATAGTTCACTGCTTCCATACACTCGTCAACTTCATCAAGTGATCATCAAGCGACACCTTTATTCGAGACATTCTAGCCAAAAATAAAGTATGAAGGTGAACAATAAACGTGTCATTTCTTTTAAGAACCAAAAATGTTTGACCGCTTGATAGAAGTTGTGTCTTTTCCTGTATTATTTTTTTTTTTTGCATTCTTACGAGCACATGCAAAAAAATGAAAGATGTTTACAACTGTCTGTAATGCCGAATTAGAGCGCAGAGAGGAGGAGGGGAGGGCACGGAAAGGAGGGTATGTCCCTCCTCCTCCGTACTCTCTCCTCCTCTCCTTCTCCTCCCCTCCTCCTCCCTCCCTCCTCCTTCATGACGTCACTCGTGGCCCTAGTGGCCCTCATGACGTCACACGTGCCGTCTCGTGCGACGTCATTATGGGGAAACGTCCCATAATGTGAATGCGCGGTTACGCCGACGGCGACACCGCTCAAGCCGGAAATGGGTGCCTAAGAGCTGCGCTCTAATAGATTGGTCCGACTTTTCTATAGGTTCTGCAATAACATCTTGGTGTTTGAAAGTGAACATTCGAGAGAAGTCTCTCTGGTTGCTCCCCACCCAGAGAGACTTCTGTCGAATGTTCACTTTCAAGTCGTTACGCTCTGACTTCGGAGAGGAGACAGCGCAGCTTGCAAAACGATATGTGAACACTACCCGCAGCATCACTACATTTAAGACCCACCTTGACTTCACAATGGCCTGTCGGGATTCCCTCATGGTTCCACAGAGCCTTCGTCTTAAAGGGGCGGTGCCCAACGATGTTCAGACTTTTCCAATAAACTGCGAAAATTAATCTGTGTCACCCATGGAACGGTAAACAGAAACCCGTATTTTCTCGCGAGCGCTAGTTTTTATCTAAAAAAAGATGAAACAAATCGAAGGTCAAGGTGCCTCTCAACTCTCCACGTCGCCTCTCGTGTGACGTACACATCGCGACACTGTTAGCGCGAACACGACATCGTCGCATTTTCGCATTTGACATCTAAATAGTTTAAGCAAGGGCTAAATTCTATCGCTTACATTATAGAACTAAATTAGCTCTTTCCGTAGCAATAATAACTTGGATTACATCGCTTGGTTTCCAAGAGAAAAACAGAAAAAACCGGCGATCGCTTGTTCGCACTAACAGTGTCGCGCTCTGTACTCTGGGGGATCACGTGGTTTCCCCTTGGGTTCTCTCTTCAGAGACCCCAGCCGCTTCCTCCACGATTATCATCTTTTAAAAGATTAGTATCGTCGAAAATCGCGGCGAGCGATCCACACAAAAGACAGTTCGCCAACGGAGGGGGACAGGTTTTGTTTACTTCTGCGTATCCCCCAGAGAACGTCACACATCAGTTTCGTTAACCACCACAAGTGGCTGCAGATCGGCAAATGTTTCGTTTTCTTCTTTGCGATTGCGCACCGGAATAGCAGTTTTTCAGGGCAAGGTGACGCGTTTTTGGTCACTTGTGCTTAGATAAACAATATAAAAAATACAAATTGCCAACTCTTTAAACACTAAAATCGTTGCACTGCCCCTTCAAACGTCTAGTTCATACACCAGAGGGGCACAAGATCGTCAAGCAAGCCGAGCACCATTTAGTTAAAGCTCGCCGAACACTAGAACACCGCATTCCATCTCTGCTCCCTTATTTACAGTCCTTCGTCGACAGCGTTGCTTCCATTTTTGCGGAAAAGCAACAAGTGTCTCAGAGCAAAAACTTTTTGAGGCTCAAAGAAAAAGAACAAGCGAAACAGAGCACCGGTTGCGCCAGGTTTGTCACAAACCTATCATCTCGACAACTATCTCCTTGTGAGACCGCTGCCTTAGCCAAAGGTCACTGCTTCAATATGACAACAACGAGGCCACCCCTACCGCGAATGGTTGCAACCCTTGAAGACGGAATCGCTCATTTGAATCTAAACACCCGTGAACGCGTGCGACAAACGGTGATTGGCATGCTGTCAAAATCACCGGCACAACTTACCCAGAGAAGAGTCAAGTGCTCTCCGGGCACTTCGGGAGGATGACAAGATCGTTCTTCTTCCAGCAGATAAAGGTAATTCAACCTTCGTCCTTGACCGAGTAGTCTACGACCAAAAGGTTTTCGATCTTCTTGATACCTCCGATTATGAAAATCTGAAAAAGGACCCTACAGCACAACTTACAAGTCCAGGACAAGATGAATAGGATACAAGCGGAAATTTTCAAAAAAACATCCAGACTCGAGAAGCCTTCGCCTGCGCCTTCTCTGCAAGAATGTATGTGCACCGGGTTTCTACGGCCTTCCAAAGATACATAAACCTAGCGTTCCCCTCCGGCCCATTGTGGACTTTACAACATCACCACTTTGAGGTCTGTCAAAGTACCTTCACCACACTCTTTCACCTCTCGTGGGTAAAACGACGACATATATACGAAACTCCAACGACTTCGTGGAACAGATTTCAACGTTGAAGGTTGAGCACTGAAGAAAGTCTCGTATCCTTCGACGTCATTTTGCTATTCACAAGCGTCCCGGTTCCCCTGGCTGTCGCCATGGCCAAGAACGCCCTCGAGAAAGAGCAATCCCTGATCGAAGGGGCAAAACTTAGCGTGGAAAAATTTTGCCGCCTGCTTGAGTTCTGCCTAAGCAGCACATATTTCAGCTTCAAGGGAGAGTTCTTCAAACAGTCCAGTGGGAGCGCAATGGGTGCCTCCATTTCAGTCACAACAGGGAACCTATGTATGGAGGCCATTGAGGTAAAGGCGGTACAGTCATTTCCCACAACCCCCAAAGTTCTTGCGGTACGTAGATGATTGCTTTTGCATCCTAAAAACGTCTGAAGTAGACACGTTCCTTAGCCGCCTCAACTCCATTGAAACGTCTATACAATTCACCGTGGAGCATGGAAAGGACAATACCTTACCTTTTCCCGATGTGCTGGTCAGAAGACAAAAGGAAGAGCTCCAGTTTTCTGTCTACAGACAACCAACACATACTGGACGTTATCTTGATTTTTATTCCTCTCACCCAGCCTGTCAGCAAGGCATCAGTGGTTAGAGAAGTTAGAACGCTGTTATCCAGGTCAAAGATTATCTGCTCATCCGAAGCTGACCGCAAAACAGAGGAGCACATCATTTTCGCCCACCTACGACGTAATGGTTACACAAGCAGCTTCATCCACCGCATTGCCCGTCATCAAGCCCAAGATTGCCGACACCTGCAACCCAAAGCAAGTGCACAGTCCCGCCCTAACACACGCATCAGTGTTACCTACATACAAAGCACAAGCGAGGCGCTGGCACGTGTACTGGCCAAAGAAGGAATCCAAATGGCCCACAAGCCGATGTCCACGCTCAAAAGACTCATGTCCCGTTCAAAGGATCGCCCGCCTAGGGAGAAATCACAAGGCGTTATTTACAAAATTCCAAGCGTGAGCTGCCCGGTCGCATACATTGGAGAAACAAAAAACTTTCAGGAGAGAATCCGCCACCATAAGAACGACGTTCGCAAGTTCGACCATGAACGCAGCGCCGTAGCCGAGCACAGCGACGTCAATGACCACAGGATTGACTTTGCCACCACCAGCATCCTTGCCGTTGAGACCAATCCCAGATATAAACTTTTTATTGAATCCTGGCACATCCAAGCGACGCCAGAAAACATAAACAGATCACTCGGCACTCTGCCGACCGTCTACGTAAACGGAGAAAAAAAGAGAGGTGACGTTTTATTAAAATATTTGGGCGGACTTAGCCTTGCCGATTCGGCCGGCATTGTCCCGCCCATACGTGAACGGACTTCGCCACCTCACCGATGCAAAACGACTCACGATACGCGGCCGTAGAAGAAAAAAACTGATTACTGCTCCTCAATGGCCATAGCCGCAGTCAACCCCTGAAGAAGAGACCGAGCAGGTCTTGAAACGTGGGGTTCCACTTTTAAAGAAGGATTTGGTTGGCGTATATATTTTTATTTATCTTGGTGTTTGCACATCATATCTTTCAATCGGAGCGAGCACGTTCGTCTGCTGCATGCACAGAGGGTGCAGTGGCAAGCTCCGGCGTCGTCGGCTACTCGTACCAATAACTGTTTCGCAAATTCTACAGTGGGAGACACGTGTAAACAAAACCCTCCCTGTCTCGCGCCGCTGAACGGCGTAACCATAGCAACCGTCGCTGATGCTGCGGCGTGGCAGCGCGGCATTCGGCCACGTCATCCAATCGTTCCTATATGTGCTTCACGCTTACGGTTTTCGGGAATCCACCAGTTCCTTACCAACGAGGACTGGTTCACACACTTGCGACCAGTAGCGTAGACAGGATTTTGAACTTCAACGGGGGAACGCTGAACTCCTCTAAGCCTCTCTCCTGCCTATGCCACTGCTTGCGACTGCTTACGACCGAGTGCATTACGACCTCTTGTAATATCTCACGTCGTGAGAACACGCTGGCACGCTGGCGCCATCTATGAGGTGGCCCTGGCACTGCATTTCACTAGAGTGAAAGATTTGCAGTATTTACTAGATCAAATGGGCATACCCTATGAGAAATTGTCATTTATAACATTTTCAAAGGTTGTTCAAGAAAATTGTGAAAGAATGATGCGCGAAAAAAAAGGGGGGGGGGGGGGGGGGGCGTTGCGTGTATGTTTATACAGCCTAGAACTTGGTCTGCCTCAACGTGCGACGAGTCTCCCAGCTGTAGATGAGCAATTTAGCCAGTGCAGTACAACCGCTAGCCTGGGGTCTTTAACGTGCATCACGCAGGAGTGATACCCAACTGCACGCCGGTACGATGCTCATCCAGATCGAAACGGGCAGGGGTGGGGATTGAACCCAGGATCTCTGGGTTCTGCAGCGCGAGCTTTCCTTCCACGTGCTCCCAGCTGGTGTGCGCTAGACCACTCGGCCACCGATCCCCCGAAAAAAAAACAACGAAATACACGGAAATTCCAAGTGTGCCACGGGTTTACCCGATAGCCCGATAGATAGCTCCAGGAGTTATCTCGTCGTAAAAGATCACAAGAG